ACACTGGTAACATGCTTTGCTGATGAACCACATGCCGGAATGAAACGTCGACGACAACATAACAAATCTTAAATAACTGCGCCTTGACTATTTATCATCCTTGAATACCCCGAAGCTAGAAAAATGCACTTACATATTACAATTAAACTAGTTGGCCCTTGTAAATAATTCGCCAAAAAAATTTGTTTAGTGAAGAAAAAACCAAACAATATGGAAATATCCTATGTATCTATGTAAGGAAGGAATTAATATATTTTCCTTGGTCGATTACAATATTCCATTAAACATAATAGACCAAAATATTTGTACAAATTGCTTTGCTAAGACATATTTCTAAACGCTGACTGAAAAGATAATAAAAGTAGTAAAGACAAAATAGTGCCCCAATCATGCGATTTTCTAAATTATTAAGAAATAAATAAAATGTAAGAACAACCAAATGTCTTTAAGAAGTAATGAAGTTAATATATCAGCCAGGGAAAAATTGTAGCAGACTATTCTACTCCTAAAAGCAATATCTTTAAACAGGAAGACATTATTAAGTATTCCAAAACTAATAGACTGTATCTTTGTTAATAATTGTCCGATTTTTACAATTTTTTTTTGTTTTGTGGGTAATTTAATAGTCTTTATAATTATCATGGTTACAATAGTATTCGAGGGTCTTTCGAGCTGCGAAATACAAATCTCAACTCTGTTTCTCGTTAAAAAAATATTTCAACACACTTGACTCCTTCCGTCAATACAAATTCTGTAAATTATACGTTAAAATTATATGTTTCTTATAGATTTTTACAATTTTTTTTGTTTTATGGATATTTTTTTTCATAGTAGATTAAAAAAAAAAAAGATGATTATATTCAAAATGAGTGGTCAATCATTGGATTTGATGAAGAATTGACAAAATAACGCCTTTTAGAAATAATATATAGGATTTTAAATTTCTTTTATCTGTGAAAATATATTTTGTAATAAGATTTCGTGAACTTCTTATATAAGTTATGAAAATAAACTTGAATTGTCTTTTTGTATTCATTTCTTACTTGAACTACATTGGCTATTTATGAATGTGACCTCAGTTTTATTTACTATCAATATTACAATACGCTTCTTTCTTCCAATAACTTTTGTTTTTAGAAAAAAATCTCAGAAGATGAGAATTAAAAACCGAGAAAAGTTGAACAACTTTGAGAAAAATACGAATATTAAAAATAATTTTCATGGAAGAGAATGTAGTTTATAAAACCACTTAAATAATTTTATATTTTCAAACCGTGTTTTTTTAAATCAAACAATTTCTAAATGAAGCCAAGGTACAAGACCTGAATGAGAAATTTCCTGATCTAAGTTATGTCTCACTTAAGCTCTGTTATTTTTGGGCAGTGATTTCAAGGAATAACCGTGATGTGGACCAAGAGAACCTGTATCCCCGACTGCCGACCTGTTCTTCATTACCTGCTAGCTCCTGATGAACCTGCTTCTTCCGTTAAGCGCCATTGGTGCCAGCTGTTCCTCGTATTTCCGGTAGTTTTTGTGTGCCTTGGAGTGGAACAATACCCCGTCATCTGGTGATACATGTCCTCTCTGAGTGGGGTTTTCATTTATACCTTTCCTATCGAGTTCACGTAACCATTAGAAAACAATTTATATATATCTACCATAAGTCGGGGTTACTTTGGGACTGGATGTAAAATTTAGGTTGTGGTGATTCCGTGATGGATAAGCGGACAGTGAATGAAAGTCACAAGAATGACAAAGATTGCTCGGGATCGCTTTGATCATGAAGACCCCTACACTTTCATTCATTACTGGCCATTTTAGCCCAGTAGACATTGAGATAACACGCAGCATAGATCTGGTGGATTGTCCACTTATAATAATGTGTTTAATTTAAAAAACTTATTTGAACATCAAGTAGTATTGGATATCAAGAGAAAAATGGAAATATAATAATTACTCTCTAGTGCCTAAAAATCGTTAAGATCGAAGTTAGTTATAAGTCAACTACTTACAAACATTTAGGAAAAGTATTGCGAAAATAATCAATTTGTTAAGAAAAATGGAAAAATTAATGACAAGTAAACACAACAGGTAAAGATTTTTTTTTTATATGTAAATTGTGAAGTTTCCATTTTTTTAAAATTTATTGCCCACTTGACTGTATAAAGAAAAAAATAGTTGAAAATGGTTAGTAAAAATATAAACCCAGGGATATAAAAAATTAATAATTAATAAAATGAAATTATGTACTTAAAATTAAAAATGAGGAACGTACAATGGTTGTGAGGCCTAGGTAAACTAACCTATTTAGTATTGTGATTAGTCTCATAGAAAATCGTTTTGACAAAAGTTAGTAAAATATAAGTCATAAGTTTACTCCTATAAAAAATTAAGAAAAGATATTGCGAAAATAATATATTTGTTGAGAAAAATGAGAAAAGAACTGACAAATATACACAACAGTTAAAGATTAATTTTTTCTTTGAGTAAATTTTGAAGTTTCCTTTTTTTTTTTTTTTAATTTGTTGCCCACTTGAAAATTTAAAAACATTTTAAAATGGTTTATAAAACATAAACAAGAGATATGAAAAACTATATGACTATTTACTTTTAATTTTGATCAGGAATTTATAATAGTTGTGAGGCCTATGTAAACTAACCTATCTAGTAGTATGGTTAGTCTCTCCACTATCGGAAATCCGCCAGACACGTCCATCAGTACTTTATTCACTACCTTACACGATCATTTGGAACGTCATTAGTGCCTAGGAAATTCTGATATAACCGTATAGGTCCGCTATACACTGTGTTGTTTCAGTCTGAAAAAAAAGGGGGTTTGTGTAGGCATATACTACCTTGCGGCAGTTTGAGAACCCTAGTTCACTACACTCGTGCAGTTAGGTTTTATTTATTTCCATTGCTTTTTATTTTCATTTTTTCAAAATTTTTGTTTTCATGAAACTTTCGCTTGTGCCTCAAGAGTGAGTGGTGTGCTGAGGTAGTAAAAGGAAGCGGTTCTTTGAGAGGTAACAAACAGGTTTATGGACTGGGATTTCGTATTAAACGAATGAACAGAGAAGTAAACAAATCAAGAAGATAAAATGGAATTTTGGTTGTAAAGGTTCGGAAAAGGAATACACCTATGAAATATTGTTGCCGAAAATCTGGGTAGAGTCACTTCAACTCAGCATACCAACTGAGCGCCTGGGGACTACAAATATGAATCGAATGAAACAATTCATTAATCTTTTCAATCTGATCTCAAGCCCACCAGACAGTCCACCGTATACAAGGCAGCTATAATCGAAGTGAGGAAAGATGAGTCAGTGAGGATACTAGGAGTTGGAGGGTTTTTAGAGGCATAGAATAATACTTCATTATTCTACGCAAAACTTTTAATGGCGAACAACTTGTTATTCTCAACATCATATTAACAAGATCTTATTCTTTGCTTAACAACATTATGAACTTAGTGAGTTCATAATGTTGTTGTTGATAAAATTTTCATCGTTGATAAGCATGATTTTTGGTTTTGTAACCGGAAATAAAATGCGCTGTGTATTTTTTTTTTTTGTTCCTCGTGAGTGCCGTCGTTAAGATTTTTTTTGGGTAAAGTTGTTTACAAAAATCGGGAAAAAATTGAGAAAAAAGAGAAGTGGGATTTTCCTGTTAGTACACGTGTTCATTGCTACGATTATCTTCCTATAAACATCTTTGTATTATTTTATAATACAATTTTAACACAGTATACATAATAACATTTAATACATTTTAAAACTTTATTTCTCATTGAATAAATCCTTTGAAAACATCATAATTTAGATATTGTTAGTTGAAATTATATTAAATAGTTTCACTTTTTATCTGGTATTAAATTATGCAAAATACAGATATCATATACTTTAGTTAACTATGTATACTTTATACTTCTAATATGGGATAGTAGTATATAGCATTAATAATATTAATACTTATAATATCACTTATTCATTAAAAATATTACCATCTTTCTCAAAGGACATTTATAATAGTCTTCAGAGATCTCATTCGCACTCTATGTACAATAAATAAAATAAATTATACAGAAAAATAATATATATACAATAAATAAGAATAAAATAACCTAAAAATAAATAAATAAAAAGAACACATACATACCTATATACACTATTTACAATCTGGCGAGAGAACTTTGAGCCAGACTTGTCTCTCCAACTATGGGGAGGAAAGCGTGATTCCAGGAGATCCCTGCACTTCTCTCTCAACCGCGACACTGGGGCTAAACTCAGTGGAGATTGAGCACGAGTGCTTTAGCCACTCATGTCGTGAGTGGAGAATCTGGTCATTGCCAGAACTTCAATATTTACAAAATATAAAAGGTCGTGGGGTCACTGCCGTTTTAACCTTCTTGGAGGATTATAGGGATGGGTGATGCTGGATAGGGATTTGGACAATGGGTATGGTTCTTTTGAAATTTGGAGAATTTTGCTGGGATAAGGTCTAGGACAAATGGGATATTAAGGTCATAGGGTTTTGAAGGTTACATAGGAAGGAGCATCGACTATTGTTCGAAGAACTTTGGATTGGATACGTTTGATGTTAATTGACAATTTTGCTGTTCCCCACAGTTCAAGTCCAAAGAGGTTTCAGTATTGTCTTCTAGATAAGTATTTTATTTTCAATAGAGAGTTTAGATTTTCTATTTAGTAGTATGTATAGTTGGCCGTATCGTCGGTTAAGCTCCTGTCTTTTAAGTCTAGTCTATGTGGGTTCCACGTTAGTACTTATAATATTATGTTTGAAAACAGTACTGGACTCAAGATCTAACATTGTTAATAATACCTTTATATTTACTTATACTTTTCTTTTTTGGAATTTTCTTTGACAAATAAAATAAACTATTATATTCAGCTTCTAATATGGGCCCTCAAGTTAATTCGTCTTTGGTGGCATTTTTATGCTTTTATATTCTTTATATTTTCTCCTTATTGTGAGGAAATCTAAAACTTTCCTTTTAAATCATTGCTATTATCTGCTGTCCTATGACATTTCCGGAAAACATTATATTTTTCTATCGTTGACAGAAAGGAGAATAGCTGTCCAGTCCTTTCAAGTTGATAAATGACGTCTTCCACTCCTGCGATGTCCTTGTCATCTAATTCCTCGGCGAACGTTTCAAGACCACAGAAGCTGAGCGACACCCGTCAGTCATCATCCTCTTGATGTGAGTAGCGGACGCCGATGACTCTCCTCTCACCTAACATACTCCCAACCACTGCTATCCAACTTCCTGGTCTTTATCTTATCTACTGGGGCGGCTGCCTTCCTCGACGGATACTGCACTTCCTCGTCGTCCCACGGCCGCGAGGTTGGCTCCATCTTATCTTAACTTCTGGAGCCACGGGTGCACGCTGTCCAATACAATATCCATAATTAAGTTGATTTTGTTGATCCAGTGTTCGCCGAGTGGTCGATATCATATTCAATAAATCATTATATAACATATATCTACAATGTATCGCAAAAAAAAAAACAAACAGTGCAGTACCATTTATTTATTTTATTGGTATTTAAAAATGTGAATTCATCCTTACTTTTTCAAAAAAATATATTTGAAGCCTAATATATTTGAAAATATATTTTGCTCAATCGGTAAAGAATTTGAGACAAAACATTTCCGTTTGATGAAAATTTGTATTTGAGGGGTTTTCGAGTTGTGAAATACAAATCTCCACTCTCTTTCAGCTAAAAAAAATATTTGAATCTACTTTGCTCCTTCGGTCGGTGCAAATTGTTTTATTTCAACATTGAACTCATACTATAGCTATATTTCAAGTATAAATTTATCATAATAAAACTTCTAAAAAATATATAAACTGAAAATATGTAAAAAAGAAAAATGCAATTAAAATATCTTATCAAACATTATCCTTTTCGGCTAGGTTGATTTATTTGCGAAAAGTAAGTTTTTCTGTATAGCTTCAGAGTTTAATCATTAAGTTATAATTGGTCTAGCCTTTTAATAGTTGAAGATAACACAGTATAATAATTTATATTCTTAAAAAAAATAATTAATATTGAACAACTTTCTTCCTCATGACGTTTTCATAAAATAAAAAGATAAAGAGTTGGCGGGTCAAATAATGATAGATCAAAATAATGTGCAAAATATTTTTTTTTCTCGGAATTCGTGAATTAAGAGGACGGTTAAGAGGGAAACTATATAATATAGCGAAAAAAATAATATAACCATTTCTATTGCTAATTTTGCATGCGATCTGATTGCAAACCAGCTTTAATTTCACATATGGCATTGCTATAGATAGAACCCTTAGGGTTCACTGTTATAAGCAAAAACCGAAAAAAGTAAACTTTTTGACTCAAAATCCACAGGTACGCGGTAACTAACTATTATTTCATGTCTCTACACTTCCTAGACGCATTATTAGTTTCTAGCTAAATATTAACATTTTTTTTAATGTTTAAAAATTGTTAACCTAATCATATATACGTTCTTTATCACTTGTATTATATTCCAGCTCAAATATATGCATTTTTTTTTTTTACAAGAACAGTATTATTATCATTATCTCTAGTTGTGACTACACATTGTTAGATTACATACGATATCACATTCGTTCGTAGCTCATTTTGCTTCTGATCTCCAGCCATCTTATCAGCCCATTACATTTCTATTGTTCATCTGTGCCTATAATTCTTTGATATTTACATTTCCTCGTTCTCTTGATATTTTATTGATCTGATATAACGTACCCTACTCGTTGTTTCTAATTACGAGAATGTAACTCCGTACTGGATGCCAATTTCTCTTTATCGACGAACATAGAGGAAATTCACTTCTCTGTGTCTCTAGATCTTATTACATATAAGTATAAAGATACTTTTTAGAACTAAATACGAAGGTCTTTTTTGGAACAGATGAGAGCTCTGCCTATCGAAGTTTTTGGCTAAGGGTTGTGGAGGGGCGTAATTTTAAATAGCATAATTTTTCATTCGTGTCTCATTATCTTAGTTAATTTAAATTGAAGGCATATAACACAGGTGTAGTTTTATGTATGACCGAAATCGGTATTTTATGTCTGATTTATTTATTTATTAGTTATACATATTCGTGGCTCACAATAAATTTGCCATCTACCTCGGTATTCAGCAAATATGGTATCAAGGAGATGAAATGATAGCATAAAAAAAAGAATAGTAATAACAAAACAAAATGACAAAAAAAAAATAAAAAAGTAGTAAAATATCACATACTTAATAAGAAATACACACACAAAAAAAAGATAGTGCAGCAAGTAGCTCATGCAATAAGTCTCTTGGCCAGCGCCTCAGCAGTCTTCTGGGCGGATTATATGGATTTGTGACAGTAGATAGAGCCTGAGTAAGTGGATTGGAATTTAGAGTCAGTCTGTCATGAAAATTATTAAAGCGGTCAGTGGCAGTTGCTGCGATGAAATGAGTGTTAAGGCCAGTGTGTAACTTGAGGTTTCTGAAAAGAATTTGTTGGCTTTATTAATGAAGTTTAAAAATGAATATTACAGATAATGTAACCTGGATTTTTTTTTCAAAATGACTCAGAAAACCCGGAAAGGTCAGGAAATTCCACAAAAAGGTTTTGATAGATAACCTGAATTTAGTTGTTAAAGAGTAGGAAGTGCGCTTAAAGTATAAACTTGCGAATTTTCGCTACTAATTTCTTCTGAAAAAATCAGTCAATTAATCCTTTAAATGCACCTTCCCGTACGTATCTTCTTCTAGTTTATTTTTTTTTTTAATGCTTTTTGCTACTATAATAGTATCATTTTGCTCCTAGAGACTTGATGAAGTTGAACGATTGCAATGTTTATCGTTGCATGAGCACGTTGCAATGAGTACGTGCTTTGGCTTGTGCAGCTACCACTAGAATAGGCTGTTAAATCTAAGTCAATAGGATCCTTGAAATGTATTGCGCGTGATTTTGTTTCAAAACTACCTCTAGATCACTCTTTCGACAAAACGATAAAATATTATTGCCACTTTGAAGTTGCTGTTTCATCCGTGAGCACGTTTGTTTGTTGCTTTGGGGAATAAATCGCATTTCAGTAAAAACAATATAGTCTTGGTAATTAAATCATCATATCTAACTTTCAACCTATCATTGCTTAGATATTTTAGTTTATTTGTCTCATTTTATTCTTATTACAAGATCAACTGCAATATTTCAAAAGAATTTTCATTCTTGTTTGATCTCACCGGTAACTTAATTTTGTCTATAATTTAATTTATAACCTCACTATAACTAATATCCATGTGACAGATTGTTGTAATACTCAATAAATAAATTTAAAAAATAAATAAATATTAAAAAAAAATATGACCGAGTAGGGCAAGGACCGCCCCATGCGTCTGTCGCGCCATTAAAGAATGAATTTAATTTATATAGAGATTTAACTAGTGGTTGTAAGTTATTCTCGATAAATTGTGATTTTTATCGAATTTTTATTATATTTATTATGATATTTCTCATTAACATTAACGAGATAGGTTTGAAAAAAAATATGTTTACGTTGGTAGAGATTGTGTGAATGTGCGTGTAATATCGCAATCGAACGTTTCCTTGTCAAAACTTAAATTACCTCAGAAAACTACAGTTGTTTTATTTACTTTTATTGCGAAAAAAGTATTATGTCTATTTCACTGCTGTAATTGAGGACCTCATCTTCGAAATTTTTTATTTTATTTTTTTATTTCTATTTTATTGAAATTTACAACTGTATTACATGGAAAATACAACAAGTAAATGTGACATTGGTAACATGACATGAAGAGAAACTACCCATTGGTAGAACTCAAATTAAAGTTCTGTATTAGAAGGTCCCGAGGCCATCATCTTTTCAGACGCCTCGGAGGGTTATCAGGGATCGAGGAGGAAGCAAGGTTTGAAACGAGAGGATTCGGATGGTTCTGCAGTTTGTTATGGAAGGATAGGTATCTGGATTGGGCCAAATCGGAAACATATGGAACATTAAGGTCTTAATGGATGATTTTATTTGTGACAAAGTAAGGAGCGTTGAGGATTTTACGAAGGATTTTGGATTGTAAGGATTTCTTCGAAATAAAAACGATTTTCCTCATATTTACGAAAGTCATTGCACCCGAGATAAATACCGGTAATAATTAGAGTTGACGTTATTCTTAATGGAAATATATTCTGTTTTACATAACTTTTCAAGGAAATATTCTAGTCATTCTAACTTTGTTTTGCAATTTCAATTTTTGTTTTGCATAAAGTGAATCTTAGACAAAGCGACCTATCCCTTACCCATTCCGCGCCCACATCACTTCAATGACTCATACTGGGTTTCAATAAGATATATTACCGTTTTCAATAGGTATTTGCATGGAAAGCATTGGATTGCCAACAACAACAACGAACTTTCAATCCCGGCTATTGGTTGAATTTATTTTTATCCTTAGAGGGACTGTGGTCAGTATTAACCTTTAACAAACCGACATCCAATACCTCATGATTGGTACGTTGTGTAGATTGGTGAAGTGTGAGTGCTTCCTTATCACAAGAACTGCGTTTTAGAAGTACTTTTTTCTCTTTGTGTAATGATTTCGTTTTTATATTTCAAAACCACATTTTAACAAAAGAATACTGAATCTTTTCATAAAATTAAATCACAAACTACTTTAGTGAATTTTCTCCCTGTCACAAAAGTTGAACACGAATATTGTATACTTAAACTGGTTATTTTTGATAAATGATTGAGTTTAAGGCAATATGATGCATTTATTCTGTTTTTTTATTATATTGTTATATAAACAAGTAAATAATGTCAAAGTTCGCGAATATAACAACAAATATTTAATAAAAAATTAAAAGAGCTAAAAAATGCACTCTTAAATTAGCAGAGTATGATTATTGAAGGAAGTTAGTCGACTGTTCTACATATCATGGGTGAAAAATATTCAGGACGCAGTCTTTTCTTAAAAAAAATTTTTTATTTATGCCAACGTTTCAACCCAAACATGTGGGACATCTTCAGGGCTGAAATTTTTTAAAAAATACAATCAGACATATAATATTATAGGATCAATAATGGTAAATAATAAACTATAGTGATTGATGATACATGAATCTTAACTAATATTGCATTACACATATTAAAAATGAAATATTTAATTAAAAACTAATGTATATATATAATCCATTTATACAAATTCGTAATATTTTCTCTCACTAACCGTGGTTTGAGCACTGAGGGTGTTCAAGTACTGCACATGTGAGCTCAAACCACGGTTAGTAAGAGAAAATATTACAAATTTGTATAAATGGATTATATACATTAGTTTTTAGTTTGTATAACTATTTA